TTTCGAGGTCAAGTTGATATTTGAGGCATATGGTTGTACGTTCTTGGAATTCGACTTAATTGAATTGGGCATTTTGAGACTTTTCTTATTTGAAACCGTATCAATGCTCGTGTCTTGTTTTCTTTTCTTTTTTTGTTCGGGACGAACAAAGGTTTAAGTGTGGGGGAGTTGTTTGTCCCATTTTTGTTACGTTTTTTTGTTGTCATTTTTTCATTCTTTTTCCCCTATTTCGAGTCATTTGATTGGTTTTAGGTTCATTTTGTCATTTATCGTGTGTTTTGTGTTGTCTTGAGTGTCCCGGTAATTCTTATGTTTTTTCTGGTAGTCTTTCGTTTGTGTTTTCATTTTTGGTGTGTAGGTCGGGAGCTTCGGGAGAACATGTTTCTGGGAATTTTTTGGGGAAGCTGACACCATTAGAAAGAGGGGTTCGTTAGCGACGCGTAGGAAAAAACGGAACTTAATTCTGAGTTCGGACAAGCTCAAACGAAGCAAAACCGTGAAGCCGCGCAGTGCGGCCAAGTTTCTTCACCGCGGCCGCGGGAATACCTCCGCGGCCGCGGAGGCCGCGAACCCAAAATCTACTGCAGCTATTTTCCGCGGCCGCGACTCCTCCTTCTCCGCGGCCGCGGCGACCAAAATCCTTCCGGCGTCCCAGACTTCAGCAGAAAATTGTCGCGGCCTCCAAGCGTGTCGCGGCCGCGGAGCCCATACTCACCGCGGCCCGCGGGCCGCTCCGCGGCCGCGGATATCGCGCTGTTCACCCTTTTAATAGCAGATTTTTGTAATCGTCCAATTCATTCTCTCCCTTTGGGGGGATGAACCCTAGTCGATAAGAAAAGCACGAACCTTTCTGCCTTTCTTCTTCTTCTTCTCCATCTTTCTTCTTCTCTTTATCTTTCTCTTTATTTTTCATATTTTTTTTCTTTTTATTCGGATTAAGCTTGTATTACGAATTCAACGTTCGAACTTGGATTAATTGTAAGTATTTCTTTCTCTTATTCAACTCATGAATAATGGTTGATTTGAGAAGAATGATTATGTATTTTGGATTCGTTCTACGTAGCTGATCTTTTGTGCTAGGGATAGGGGATTTATTGTTCTTGTTCATTGTGTAATTGTCGGGCTTGATTTGTTCATTCTTATGTGCGTTGGTTTGATAAGGAATTCATGAATTTGTATTCGATAGATTGACATAATCGAAAAGTGACATTTCGATCTTGCTATTGGTGACAGTTGGATGTTAGTTTGTCGAGTTAGGGTTTGTCAATTCTATATGATTAGTTGATTAAACACCTTCTAATTGATTTAGCGGCTTTCAAAACCGAAAGGGGAGAAGTCGTAGGAATAGGCTCGCATGAGGTAGATGATTTCATAATTGAATAATCTATGTGTTTTAGATTAAAATACGAGCTTGTCGATGACTCGTCCCTTGTTACGAATAGTTATTGGGGCTGGGATCATTGGCCTGTTTTGTATGCTTGAGCTTGTTCGTCTATGTTCAATCCCTTGTTACGAAGAGTTATTGGGAGCGAACCGCTAGATGCATAAGCGAGAGCGTCAACCTCGAACCGAATAATTGATTGCCCGACTTTGCTAGAACTTGAATTAATTATCCCCGATTCCCTAGCTTCTCCATCTTCGTTACATTCATATTCTTAGGTAGATTTTCATTTTGCATTGTTATTCATTTCTTAGTTGATAATTATTCACTCCCTTATTTGATTAGTATGTTTTGGATTTATTTTGCTTTTATGTGTTGTCAATACCGTTTCTGAATTCCGAACTGCCTTCCTCGTGAGATCGACCCGGGGAACGAATCTTTAGATTCGGTACTCGGTAAAAATAATAATTTGTACTCAACAAATTTGGCGCCGTTGCCGGGGAAGGCAAGTAGGACATTTTGTTTTGATATTGATTTTATTTTTCGTGTTTCTTTTATTTTTGTGTTTTTCGTGGTTTTGTTCTTCCTTTTGTGCTTCTTTGCTTTCTTTTTGTCTATTTTGTTTTTGTTT